GATTTTAATAGGATAAGATTTCAAATAAAGGTAAAAATTGAGATTGAAAAAATATATAGTTTAATAATATTAAACTAGTAATATTAATAGGAAAAAGCCAAATAAATAAATAAATTACAACTTTTAACGATATCCATGTGCCATTACCACCACTTGTCTGGCAGTGTCGTGCTATGCTGGTGGGTTGTGTGTTGCTGTGCCACTGGAAGTCATGCCAGCTGTACTGTACATAGCATCAAAGTGCCCTATGGTAGACAGGTTTCAGCCGAGCTTCCAGGCTAAAAGACTAGACAAAAGGAATAGGCAGTCCACTTCTGAAGGATTATCCACTGAAAATCCGATGAGTAGCAGTGGAGCAGTCTCTGATATCGCCAGAACATGATGTACTCAGGTTGGAATGCATTCAAAATGCTATTAGGGAAGAGATGTCTTTTCAAAGTAGAATTGGTCTTAATGACATAAGTAGAGCAAAGCTTTCGCAATGTTCATCTACTGATAGAGTATGACTCAAAATAAGAAGACACAACCATTAAGAACCAGAACATGGAATGTACAAAGTATGAATCTAAGAACATTGGATATCATCAAAAATGAAATGCATACATAACATTTGACATGCTGATGAAGAGTGAGGAAATTGACTGGTCTTGGCCACTTTGAATGAGACATCATTTGGCTTGCTAAGCCAAGTGTGATAGTTGGATTTTTTGTGCCAACATGGAACCCTTAAGAAGATATGGGTGGGGGTGAAACACTAAGGGCATGCAACAGAGCAGCCAGGGGAGCAAAGCAATGAAGTCCCCTGGGAATATGAAAAATAGACTTCGGGGTCAGGGTGTGCTACCCCATCAGACTTGACTGGAAAACATCCTAAAGGTCAATGAACATACCTGGAACTATTTATAGGCTCTTTTTTTTATTATTAGTTTTTGTTGTTGTTGTCTCCGCCCCTCCTCCCCCCTTTGGTTGTTTTGTTTTGCTTTGTCTTGTTTTTGAGCTTATTATTGTCTCTGCATACCTATCTAGATAAGATAGGTGAGATAAACAATCCCGGGGAGAAAACAAGGGGACCAATGGTTCCTGCGGGAACACGGGAGGAGGGAGGCAGGGAAAAGGAAGTGGATGTTAACAAACCCAGGGACAAGGGAACAAGTGATCTAACATCAATGGCGCGGAGGGCATAGGATGCCTGGTAGGGCTTGATCAAGGCCAATGTAGCTGGGAGGAATTACTGAAACCCAAATGAGGGCCGAACATGAGTGGGACAAGAGGAACATAAAAGGAAGTAGAGGAAAGAACTAGGAGGTAAAGGACATTTATAGTGCTCTAAATACAGGTATGTACATAGGTAAATATATTTTTATATAATGATAGGGAAAAATATCTATGTACATATATTTATATGTTAAGTATTAAGGTACAGATGGAAATTGGGCCTCTACTCAAGTACTCCCTCAACACAAGAACACTTTGTTATAATAACCCAGCATTCTGTGATGCTCACCTTCCCTAACACCATCGCTATTGCAAATAGCAATGAGTAGAAGATGGTCTAAAATTGATTGTGGTGATGATTGTACGACTCTTCTTAATGTGATTGTACTCTTGAATTGCATGAGTTTTGAATTATATGCCAATAATACTGTTTAAAAGTTAATTAAAAATATCATCTAACTACCACAGATGTCTATGTGGCCAGTCAACTAGAAGAGCTCCATATTTGCTCCTATTCCAAAGAACAGTGACCCAACAGTATGTGGAAATTATTGAACAATATCATTTATGTCACATGAAAGTAAACTTTTGCTAAAGATAATTTCTTAAACTTTTAAGTGATAATTGCATTAAATCAAATCATGCCACTTGATCATTTTATTGCTACAACAAAACAGAGTATTACAATACTTCTCATTTCTGATTTTAATTGACTGTCTCATTCCTCATTCTGCTCATACATTTCAAGTTTTAATGCAAGAATAAAATAAGATGCTTACCAAAAGAGCCCTTCCCCACACTGTAATCAGAATAAGGACCAGAAGAGACCCATTCTCTCTTTGCATGTTCAGACTTATATATTAATATTTTTCCAAACCACTTTTTAGGAGCTAATTCAGATATCATGCCATTCCATAGTTCAATCACATCGAGCAGGATTGTACAATTGCTACCACAATAATTTCCAAAACATGTTCTTCCTTCTTGAAGTCCTTGATATCAGCTCCCCTTTTGTAACAACTTTGAAATAAAACAGATGTTTAATGACCCACTATTCATAATAGTGGAATACAATTAGATAATTAGAATAACAAATATGAAACACTACATCCACCAATAATTTTGCAATGACAGATTCCATACTTTTTTGTCAGGCATTTATACTCATACTAAAAAAAAATTATTTAGTGGTTATTCCTAAGTAGGGGCAACTATTATTACATAACTTTTGTGAAATAACCTTTATGAATGAAAATAAAAGTTCTCTTTATCAAGTTACTAAGGATAGCTTTAACATGATTACAGATAGGAGCTGTCAGACATATCTTGGTTGAAAGCAAAGATGTTTACTTTGGTTTTATGGACTACGCAAAGGCGTTTGACAATGTGAATTAAAACAGACTATGGAAAACATTATAAAGGATGAGAATATCAGACCACTTGATTGTGCTCATGTAGAACCGTAGTATTTTCAGTCACCTCACATGCATGTGAAAGCTAGACAATGAATAAGGAAAACTGAAGAAGAATTGTATTTGAAATATGGTATTGGTGAAAAATATCGAAAGTTCTGCGGATGTGTTAGTCCTGGTAGATTAGAGAAACAAATCTGGGGAGACTCATAAAAAGAAAGAGCTTTATTTACAAGAGCAATTGAGTATTGAGAAAACATCCCAACCCAGTCCAGATCAAGTCCATTAGTCCGATATTACCCCATAAGTCAATACTAGACCATAAATAATTCTTCAGACTGACACAGCCATGCAATGATGCCAAATGCAGGAAGATCACAGGCCAGTGGGTGGAAAGTCTTGTGGCTCCAGTTGCTGTAGAAGCCTCGCAGTGCTGGCGTGGGTCTCCACATGGCTCCTCCAGATCCCAGGGCTCTGGCTGTATTGGGGTAGCTCCATGGGGCTTCTCCTCAGGAATGTCTCACAGGGAGTGAGGGAGTGTCCCACCTCCACCAAGCTATTTATCTCCTTAGCGTCTCCAAATGAGGTCATCAAGCTGTAACCTGATTGACAGGCTAAACTCCACCCCTTCACTCTTAAATCTCAGATTGGCAACAGATTCTGTAACTACCACAGTGGACTACCAGAAGAACAAGCAAAACTCTCTTGGAAGTACAGCCATAAGGTTCTTTAGAAGCAAGGCTAGTGGGACTTCACATTTCATCTACTTTGGACATCTTATCATGAGGGGCCAACCCTGGAAAAGGACTTTGTGCTGAGTGAAATAGAAGGTCAGAAAAAAGAGGAAGACACTCCGTGAGATGAATTGACATAGTGGCTGCAGCAGTGAGCTCAAACATGACAGTTTTGAGGATGACGCAGGATTGGGCAGTGTTCTGGTCTACTGTACAAAGGGTTGCTTTGAGTCAGAACTGACGAGAGACACCTAACAACAACAACAACGTGTGCCATTAACTGCATTGCATGGATTAACTGGTTTAATTTGTAGAACAGCTGATTTTACAGATGAATAAGCTTCTCTACAGAAAATCTAAATAATCTGAGCAATGATGGAATCTGGTTTGTCTACAACCTAATTGCATATTCCACTACACCTATACAAAAAGGCTTCAAACATTTCATCAAATGTTTACAAATTTTTATTGTGAATTAGGTAAATATTTATAGAGCAAATAGTCAGTTTTACATTCAACGATTCCTACAAATTTTATTTCAACCATCCAGTGCAACCATGCAATGTGCCCAGCTATCACATATCTCACTTTCTCCCTGTGTTTCCTGTTTCCACTCATCCTTTCCCCCAACCCTCTGAACTCTGTCCTTGGGGAAATGCTGCCCCTTTTGTCTTAAATGGTTCATTATTTTAGCATGAGGTAAGTTCAATTCCAGACATGAAGGGTCTTGAGGGTTCTATTAGTCTCTATCCAACCAAAAAGCCTGGTCTCTTTTATGATTTTGAGTTCTGTTCCATAGTTTCCTTCCACTACTTTCAGGATCTTCTAATGGGGTCCTTTTCAGAGCAGTTGGTAGTGATAGCTGGGCACCATCTAGTTCTTCTGGTCTCGGGGTGTGCAGACTAATGTTTGCGTGGTTAATGAGTCCAGTGGACTAACTGGTTTCATGTCTCTCTCAATTTTCATTGCTCTTCTTTCCTACAGCTGGGGAGAGACCATATTAGTTAGATAGCTGCTCAAATTCTATTCTCTTTCAATTCCGATTTGCAATGAAGTTTTTAAAGCTCCCTCATATATTAACTCCCCGAGATAGAAAAACACAGTACCCCTCCCCTTCTCTTAATAAAAATTCTGTAATATTTTGGAGTTGCAAAATAGACTCATAGGATTCAAGAAGATCCATCAACAGCTTTTTGCTCCTAGACTCTCAAAGGGTAGGCATAGTTTGTTATTTGTGTCCTAACTTCCTTCTCATGTAAGGAGCATAGTGAAAAGTAGGGGACTTCCACAGACGAGAAACAAGAAATGGAAAGTCCAAAGGAAAGTCTTTACCCCCAAAGTAGAAAGAGACAAATAAATGGCTTGCTTTCTAAGAAACCTGACTCGGTGAATGAAGTGGAACTCCAGGTAAAGATGAAGGCCCCCTCCAAAACCCCCCTTGCCTAAGAAGCCATGTCTACAAACTTATGGCCGTAAGTAACACCCTGCCATAGGGTACGTAGTACATTGCCTCCAAGATGGCCACCAGTTCTGATGTCATAAGTCAGTTCTGATGTAAGTTGAATATTAAATTGTTTTAAAATATCATAATTATTGTTTTCATAAATCTAATCTTTTTACTCTTTAGGCGTTGGAAAACATGACATCTGAGAATGATAAGAAAACCAAATTAGTCAATGGAACATTGTATTTAGTATATATTACTAAGGACAAAAGAGAAAAAATAGATTGCTGTAAGTAAAATAGATGGTAATTTGAATGTCTGAGTCAGCATATCAAAATGGAGTACTTAATTACTTATTCTTTTATATTTCATTTTGCCTATTCTCTGTGAATGTCTTGTTTTCACAATCAGATTTTAAACTTAATGAGCACATGTGTATTTTTTGACATAGGAACTATTTGTTTTGAATTTTTTAATAATAGGAACTATCTGTTTTATTTTCCCCTCTTAAGCACCTCTAGTAAAGCCAAATAGAAGCCTGGTTACACAGTAGTGATCTGATGATTGTTTAGGGCACTAAGTATTTTGGGGAACTTAGCTGCAAAGAGGATCCCTTGCTTGGAAAGCTTTCAGGGGAGGAAGGGAAGGGGGAGGGAGAGACAAAGTAGTTAAGTACAGTTCATATTATCACTCTGTATCTAAAGTATGCTACTTCACTGATCAGGATTTTGCTGGGTTTACAAATCAACTGCCTCAGAGTAACTGGAAAACAGAGGGAAATTATGAGACAGATCGGATTTATTTCTTTACAGCTGAGAATTAATCTCACTTCTGTAGAGGAAACAAGCCTCCCTCCCTCTTACATTCTGACTAAAATGCACACCAACTAATGTCCATCTGAAAATAGAAAGTAACCAGTTCTCCGGGCTGGGCAGCAGTGCCGCTATTTAAGAAACAAACCAATAAATCACAAACCGCTAACCGGTGTGTCTTTGCTGCAGTTTATAAAGATGGAGACTTGCAATAAGAGAAGATGGGTTCCATGAAGGCATCAGCTTTATGGAATCTGGTGGCTGGCTGCAAGCGCTATTTTAGGATCTTTATGACATGTATAAACATCTGTGTTGACAGCTCTAGCTGCCCGTTACCAAATGTGAATAAAAGTACACCTCAATGAGAAATGAACTTATTATAGAGAAAGTGGAAAGTCAGGGTCAGTTCTTTAGTGCCCATTCCTTTTATAGAACTTGATGGTGGAAATGGGAATGGTTTTCATTTGTTACCCATTGTATACCGTTGAAAGCTTCTCAGAAGAATAGCATTACAACACTGCTCCCGGTAATTACCCAAGCGGAAGATTTGTAGCCTTTTGTGTATATCTGATGAAGCCAGGGGACTGTCCCCAGGATACTGACAATCGTGAATAAAAGCACCAAAGGGTTCCATAGATAATTGCCTCCAGGAGTCAAATTAAATCCCACTGCCACCTAATCAATTTGGACTCATAGCGACCCTATACAGGGCTCCCCGGACTGTAAATCTCTATTGTAACAACCTAATTTCCTCCCTCAGAATGGCTGGTAGGCTTGAACAACACACCTGGCAGTTAGAAGCCATTATCTAACCCACAGTGTCACCAAGCCTACTTGGATCCTAGATTAAGACACTTTAATTTAGGATCATGTTGATCAAGGAGTTTGGGGTTTTAGACAGAGGCTAGGGTTGGCCATTTGCCAGCTGGGCAGTCAACAATGTCTTGGCTAGAATGTCCCATGTTGACGAGCTTTGTAGCAACCAGCCTGGAGTTGGTGCTCAGAGAATGTGGGTTGAATGAATGACTAGACCCATGGTTAGAGCTAATAGCTCTCCAAGACGGGGACAGAGTCAGGTCAGCAGCTTTAGGGAGGAATAAGTAAGTGATAAGCTCAGTAATCATCTCTTTTGTGCTTACTTATCTTTGCTTTTCTGCTGAAGACAACTGATTTTGGTGGGAGAAATTCTAGACACACCCGGATGTCAAAGGTACTGTCATTTTTCTGGTTTTGGTTCTACCCTGAGAGTTCTCAGGTCTCACGGGCTCAGTAGAAGAGCCTGGGTAGCAGGGTGGTGAAGCGCTCAGCTGTTAACTGGAAGGTCAGGAGTTCTAACTCACTGGGTGCCGTATAGGAGGAAGATGTGGTAATCGGCTTCCATAAATATTTACGGCTTAGAGACCCGATGGAAAGTTAACAACTCATGTATTCCAATTGGAAATGTTGGCCTATGCATATGTAGTTTTCTTTTCTCAACCATGTTTTAAATTCTAAACCCAAAATCAAACGCACAGCATTGAGTCAATGCTGGCTCATAACAAGCCCTGTGGATTTCTGCTGCAGAGACCACAACTGTTAGGAAGCAGAAAGCCCAGGCTTTCTCCTGTGGAACTGCTGCTGGTGGTTTCAAACTGCTGACAATCAGAGCACAGCCCACCACATTACCACTACACCACCAGGACTCCTACCTTAAATTCTATATCATAGATAATGTTGGATACATTAGCATCACTATCAATAGAATCACCTTACGCCCCAGTGGAATGATGGGTAATGTTCTTTATTATAAAATGATAATGACGTTTCTAAAGTTAATCAGAGACATACAAATCATAGATTCATGAATGGAATGTGGGCTCACAATTAATTATAATCCCAATCTAAGAACAAATAGTCCTATGACATGCCCCTACTGGATACTTGCCCTCATGAAACGATCACTGAGGGTATGAGTGCTATAGCAAGAAATCAGATGGTGCTGGCTATGAGAAAGAATAGGATTTGGGGTCTTAAAGCCCTGTCTTAAAACAAGCAGCCATCTAAGGCAAGGCTCCAACTAAGTCCACATGGAAGAAGCACATCAGCCTGTGTGATCCAAGGATTGAAAAAGTAAAATCCAAATCTGAAGGAGGGAATGATATCAGTGCTTACATTGTGAATGCCTGGTTTGCAGAAGGCTATGAAAGCCTAAAATCCATTTGCAGGGTCCCGGTAGGGATTAAGCATCCAGTCGAACCCCTCTGACCATAGTCCGGGGATGTGAACAGTGTTGCTATCAGACAGAAAGCATTGTGAAGCCAATTATGGAAGATGTAAGACCTCCCTTTTGACGCATTTGAAAATTGCTTCCGTTTTAAATATTATCTGCTTTCTTTTCAATTGAGGTTTTCTTTTGTTATATTTTGTCATTGTTGTTGATTTTTGTTTGTTTTTTTCTTGGTTTTGTTTTGTATGATTTTCTGTATATGAAATTCAGGATGGGTAAATCTATAGAGGCAGTAACTGGATTAATATTTACATAGGGGCATGGCAGGGGAGGTTGCTGGGAGATGGGGAGCTGACAACGAGTAGGAGAAAGAAGAAAATATTCTGAAATGGATTGTGGTGATTGCACAACTCTTAATATGATTAAATTATTAAATTATATAATATGTGAATTCTTTACCAATAAATAATAGATCAATTATTTACCAACTTAATAATTATAATAATAAAAGAGAAACCCAAAGGAGCAGTCTGCTCTTCTATAGTGTCGATGTGAGTTGGGATCCACTCAACAGCAATGGGTTCAGTTACTCAGTTCTCCACTGGGCTGTCCTTGTAAATCTCCCCTTTCCATAGAAGGATCCCTGGCAGTGTAGTAACTATGAGTTAGGCTACTACCCACAGCGTCAGCAGTTTGAAACTAACAGCTTCTCTTCAGGAGAAAGGCGGGGCTTTATACACCCATAAAGAGTTGCAATGTCTAAAACCGCAAGGCCAAGTCTACCCTGTCCCATAGGGTCGCTCTAAGTCAGAGTTGGCTTGATGGCAGAGAGTTTGGTTTTGGGGGGATTTCCATACAGAACTTGGCAATCTGTACCTTCCTTTTCTTTTCAGAACGTTGTTGTGATCTAACAGCTCAACTCTGTTTCTCAGGGGAATGACTCTCCAGGAAATGAATGACGGGAACAGACCGATGGGGCAGCCTGCCCGGGGGGTGGGGTGGGGTGGGTGGGTGGTGGTGGCCTCTTTCATCTCTCATTGCCAGTGGACACTGGGATGCCTAGATATAGGTTCAGATCTTGGCTTCCTCACTCACCAGTGGTGATACTTTAGCCAAGTCACATTTAATTCTTTGAGCTTAATGTTTCTCTTCTCTAAAAAAGAGATTCAGCCCCAATAGACTGGCTGAATGAAGAGTCAAGTGTAGAGATGTAACAGAAAGAGCAGAGCAAATATTTTCATGAGTGGCAGACGCCTCCCTTGTCAGGAGTGGAGTGATGGTGTGAAAATGGATTCAAATAAGCCTACTGAAGCTCCAAACCTGATCCCTAGACATTAGCGATACATTTCATAAATGTTTAAACTCTATGGTTCTCCCCTACCCCCAATCCTTGCTTTCTCTGCCCTAGATGGGCCTCGGGGCCTGCCAACTGCCCACGGAAAAGCCCCTGAGGGAACCTCGACACGAATTTCTCCCATCCCCAGGAGAGCAGGGCTTCTGGGGGAGACAAGGGCTGAAAAGTGAATGAGCTGACATTTGTGCTCTGTTCCCTTTCTTGTCCGAGAAACAGCGTGTGAAAGCTTGTGCAGGAGATTTGTGAATGAGTGACTTGCCAGGTCGCATTTGGTTAGCCTCATGCAATTTCCAGCACAGGCCTCAAGAAGGGGTGGTTTGAGGGAAGTGCCTGCGAACTTGCTTAAATATCAGGAATGTATCTCATGGACTTCTAGCAGCTCTCTTAACTGAATTGATCTTCCGAGACCAGACTCAATGGCAGAAGCAGTTAGGGTCAGACACGGTGGGGTGCTTAAGTGGAATGTCTTGTAGGCGGCTAGATGAGGATGCCAGGGCCCCAAACTCAGACACCACCAGCCAGGAGGTGGATGTGAAGCCATGTGATAGGACAAGCCCTTCCAGGAAGCATGCCGGGTGAGAAGGGTCCTCCTACATCTGGTAGTGCACCAATGAGAGGGTCTGAGTGCAGACGAGGAAGGCTCTTGGGCAGCCAATGAGGGCAGCGGTGGTTGGGGTGAGTCTCGCCTTCCACGTCAGGCTCTGACTGAATTCTCAGCCAGTGTAGTTCCGCGAATGTGCAGCCACCACTCATCTGTCAGCAGGGCTTGCGTGCTGCTGTGATGCTGACCGGTTTCAGTGGAGCTTGGAAACTGTCATCGTCCGCTCCCATCCCGCACCTTGCCAAAGAGAAGCCTTTCCAGGCATCACGTTGGGGCGGAGTCCATTCAATGCTTAACAGATACAGCAGGCGCATTTTTAAGTGGATGATTTTGATGGCCCACGCATGACGTGATAAATATCCAAACGGCGCTTGGCACAGAAAGAGGACCCTGTCCCTCATATCATCCTGCACTGTCGCAGGCAGGACTGAGACGGACTGGGAAGAACGCTCTGGTGGTCTGCTTCAGAAAGTCCCCCCGGGAGAACCCTACGATGTCAACCACCCAGTCTGCAGGCCATCATTGACATGACGCAGACTGGCTGGCCAGTGCTTCGGCCCGGCGTGCGGGGATTGCCATGAGTGGGGGCTGACTCTATGGCTGCCAACAAGGACAACTGCAGGTCATTTGAAAACAGTGAAAACAAAAAGCTGACTGAAACTCAGCCCACTCAACTACCTACGAACTGTTGACGCGGTTCATCTCCTGCATGAAGCATGACTCTCTTCAAGAACGGCATGCCGCTCTCCAGGTTTGCTCGGACAAAGTGTGGGGCCCACCTTTTCTTGAGATGCTGGAAGAGAATGACAGTGTGGCGACCTCAGGACAAAGGAGAGACAGGAGCTCCCAGATATAGAGCCAATACCTCTTGCCGAGGTCAGCTGAACATTTGGATCCATTCATACCTGGGGATTTTCCTAACAGCTTCATTTACAGACATTCTCCTTTACACATTCTCCTTTGTGCTCCATTCGGGGTTTGGCACCTGAAACAGAAATATTTCCACTTACATAAGCATCATATTAATAACGATAGGCATGAGCAAATCCACAGGTATTCCGTTACACACAAGGGGTTCTGATTTTCACCTAGTGACTGGGGTAGAGGCTGTGGTTTCTAGTTTTTTCCTGGCGTCAGTGACCCCTGTCATCACTAAGCAAACAAGCACACAGCCATCTAACAGAGCCACCTTTCTGTACACAACAAAACTCAATAGAACGTTGTTTGGACCTTGTCCAAGATAACTATTTACAGATGTTCCCAAAGCATATACTCATAAAGCTACAGGGCAGAGACTCATACTATGAAGACAGCTCCTCATGAAACTCTAGAATATTCTACAAGGAAATTACCAAACTATTTAAAACTGCATTAATTTTGTTTTCTCCCTCACACTACATTAAGTTTAGAGTGAAGAGACCTGGGTCATAAGTGTTTTATATGAAAACCTTTGAAGATAAAAGCATTAAAAGATGCACAGAAACTATTTTA